CCATAACCGTCTGGTATGCTGCTGCCACTGCCAAGGACAAGAGCAGACTGCAGCGTATCATCCACACTGCTGAGCAGGTAATTGCCTGCAATCTACCAACCCTCGAGGACCTGCACACGACAAGGTCCATGAGGCGAGCGAGGAAGATTATGGCCGATTTCTCCCACTCTGGACACTCTCTGTTTCAGCTACTCCCCTCCGGCAGAAGGCTTCGGTCCATCAGGACCAAAACCTCACGCCATAAAAACAGTTTCTTCCCATCTGCTGCTGGCCTGTTAAACAAGGCCAAGGGCTAACACTGTTTTTAACATTTGATCTACAGAACGACACCTTACCGATATTAACTATGTTACCCTATTTGTATTTTTTATTTTTAAATGATATCTTAAAGCTATTTTATATTCGATATTTATTTAATTTTATATACTTCAGCCCCTTGGTGTTAGACTTTTAACCCTTATTATAGTAAGACTTGTTTAAAACTTATTTAAGATTTTAGATTCCTATATGTTGAATGTATGCACCATCCTGCCAAAGTAAATTCCGTGTCGGTGTGAACTTACATGGCGAATAAAACCCTTTCTGATTCAAAACGCTCATCCTTACTGACGTTGCTGGCTGGCATCTTAGCGCTCTTGAGGGTTGCAGCGATCTCAGATCTTGTCGCGTCTGCAGCCACGTGTCCCCAAACCCTTAAGAGCGACATGGACCTGGGCAACGATATCATCCGCTGGTTTGTGTTTGTGGTGACTACAAAGTTTAACCGTTAGCCAAAGCCGGCTTCAGACCGTTGCAAATAGGGCTATTACTCAAGATTAATAACAACCTCGTCAACGTCAAACTTTTTAACGTGTTGATCTGACTTCTTCTTGGAAAGGAGGTTGAACTTGGAAATCAGGTTATCTTTACATTCAGCTGACACGTTATCTACACGTTCCCAATCAGACGTAGACATTTTATTTCCCCCCCGTCATTGTTAAGTGCGATTTCCAGAGTGTCTCGTCCGCGTGATCTAGTTCAGCGCGTAGCAGTCTAATTCTCTCTTAGATCAGGGGCCAAGCTATAGGCCCCTGAACAAGATTCGTTTGGCATTGGAAGACGTGATGTGTGGTGCCACCGGAGCGGGGCAGCTCGGCCTCCCCCCCCCACTAAACACTCGCATGCACCCCCCTAGGGTCTCGAGGAGGGATCACTTGGTACGATGGGTTTTCACCCGAAGACCCCACTAGCAGGATCACGTGGTACGATGGGTTTTCACCCGAGGACTCCGCTAGCAGGGATCACGTGGTACGATGGGTTTTCACCCGAGGACCCCGCTAGCAGGGATCATGTGGTACGATGGGCTTTCACCCGAGGACCCCACTAGCAGGGATCACGTGGTATGATGGGTTTTCACCCGAGGACTCCACTAGTAGGGATCACGTGGTACGATGGGTTTTCACCCGAAGACCCCACTAGCAGGGATCACGTGGTACGATGGGTTTTCATCCGAGGACCCCACTAGCGGGGACGTTCCACGGCTTCCCCGGACCAGGAAATTTTCCGAGCCCCCCCAGACAGGATTATGTGGCGCCCTCCCCCCACAAAAAAGGGGGGCATAGAGCTTAGAGCTTTACAGGCCGGCCGCGATGAAGCATACACAACACGTGGGGGGTGGTGGGAACTTCATCCAGCACCCAGCGTCAGAGTAAACAGCGGGCTGGGAGGGTTAAAGCAACAGGCCGATAATAAGTAGACACACAGAGAGAGAGACAATGGGGAGGGGGGTGGATGACGCGACCACCCCCTCCCCCCATCCCCAACGGCCAGAGCGCTCCTAACGGCCGCAAAGAGGATTCGATTGGATGCGCAGGATGATGTCACATGACCCGGGGGAGGGGGTGGGGGGGATTCGATTGGATGCACAGGATGACGTCATATGACCCGGGGGGGTGGGGGGCGGAGTTAAGGGGCTTGGGACATATATAAGGGTGGTGCAGGAGGGAGAATTTGTGGCAGAGTCCTTCTGGAGCGGCGGCGGTGGCGGGAGACAAGTTAGCCGTCCTCAGGGTCCGCGCTCGGGACGCCCGCAGGGTGGAGCTGAGAGCGATCGACGAGACAAAGTCCCCCAAGGAGAGAGAGAGAGAACATCTCCCTCGGCCCCGTTGGGCAGCGGCGGCAGCGCCCGCAGAGGTGAGCGGCGGACACGGACAAAGGAGGTCAGTTCGGTCGGCTCGGGCTCAGGCGGTGGACGCACTCTGAGACGGGTAGGTGAGAGAGGAGGAAGGGCTGCTGCTGGCTGGAGGGGGACATACACGGGAAAAAAATCTTAGCGCAGACTACTGACTTTGTGACGCATGTGTGTGTGTGTGAAGAGCGGTGGGACAGCGATCGGCGTACGACGGTGTGCGTGTGTGTGCATGTGTGAAGAGCGGTTACGGCCTTCATAGGTGCTGCTCGCTAACAGCACTTGCCCCTACAGTCTGTTAAGGCTATATGGGGGATCTTTGTGAAGAGCGGTGGGACAGCGATCGGCGTACCACGCTGTGCGTGTGTGTGGGTGGCTTTAATCAGCATAGGCACCCGTAAATAAATAATTAAACAGAGGGACGTTTGACTTTCACCGCGAGCGCGCAGAGATTAATTAATTAAGTGCTTACCGAGCGCGTGCAGAGATTAATTAATTAATTGCTTACCCAGCGCGTGCATATTAAACTACCCTACTACGGCTGCCCGCACCCACGCGCGTGGGTGGTCGCGCGCGTGGGTGGGGGGGTCACGTGGGTGGGGGAGGGCCGTCCAGCGCCCGTTGGCTGTTGACACAACGGCTTAGTATAAATAAATAATTAACTCTGAGCAGCCGCCAGCGGCGAGTGGGGGGGGTGGAGGGGTGCTGATGTCACCCCACCCGCTCGCGGGGGAGGGGGGAGGGGGGAGGGGAAGATCAGCCCCCCCCCCACCTAGTGGGGAGTGGGGAGGGGGAGATCAGTCCCCCCCCACCTAATGGGGAGTGTGGAGGGGGGCATTAGCCCCCCACAGATGGAACCAGGGGGGTCGGTGTGTAAATGAGACCGGCGTTCCCTTTGAGAGTGGCTCACATCTCTTCAGGACACGTGAGCGACTCGATCGGGATGAGCTTTCTTGTGCTCGGGAGTTTGTTAAAAGATCTTCACGGCGACGTGGAAACGCTCCCCGTAGAGGCTTCACAGCTCTTGGGATTCTCCTCCTGCAAGCTGAACACAACAGCAGCCTCCATCTGTCACGCACCGGGGCTGTGGGCGGGGCTGTGGGTGGGGCTGTGGGCGGGGCTGTGGGCGGGGGCGGAGCCTTGAGGGGCGGGGCTTTGTGGGGTAGTGAGTGTGTGTGGAGTGTGACCTCTGTGGAGGAGGAGGCTCGTGAAGGACGCTGCTGCTGCTGGGTAGTTGGAGGCAGTCGCCCTCCAACAACAACGAAGGGTGGAGAAGCGACGCTCAGAACAACGAGCGGAGTGCCGGGTGGCTAAAGCACAGCAGGTTGGCACAGTAGGGGGCACAGGTGGTGCATCAGCCACTCATCTCGGTCACCCGTGGCACCTGCTGGGTCTGCCCCGTGACCTCCTGCCAGCGGGCGTTCGACACACCACGTGACTGCCTCAATGTGCACCTAGCCTGGCACAAGCGTCGTGGTGACGTCACGTTGTGTAGTGTGAGGCTGTGTGTGTGGTGTGAGGCTGTGTGTGTGTAGTGTGAGGCTGTGTGTGGTGTGAGGCTGTGTGTAGTGTGAGGCTGTGTGTGTGTGGTGTGAGGCTGTGTGTAGTGTGAGGCTGTGTGTGTGTAGTGTGAGGCTGTGTGTGGTGTGGGCTGTGTAGTGTGAGGCTGTGTGTGTAGTGTGAGGCTGTGTGTGTGGTGTGAGGCTGTGTGTAGTGTGAGGCTGTGTGTGTGTAGTGTGAGGCTGTGTGTGTACTGTGAGGCTGTGTGTAGTGTGAGGCTGTGTGTGTGGTGTGAGGCGTGTGTTGCCCTGGCTTGCCCTGGCTTGCCCCGGCAACGTCACGGGGTGTGTCTCGTGACTGCTGCTGCTGCCACCACAACACGCTTAGGGCTTTAAGGCTTTTCTGTTTATTATTAATCTGTCATTTTCCATGATTAGTCTGTGGTTTTCATTATTAATCTGTCATTGTTCATTATGAGTCTGTCATTAATCTGTCATTTTTCATTATTAACCTAATTTGTGTTTATTATTAATCTGTCATTTTTCATTATTAACCTAATTTTTGTTTATTATTAATCTGTCATTTTACGATGGCAAAAACGTGGTAGTCACGGAGACATTTGTCATCAGTGTTGTGAGTAGCCCGCAGTGAGAGCACGACTACACACACACAGACATACACACACACACAGACACACAGGTTGTGTGTGTGTGTGGGGTGAGGTTGCACAAGAGACACACACACAGACAGACACAGACACACAGAGACACACACACAGGTTGTGTGTGTCTGTGTGTGTGTGTCTCTTGTGCAACCTCACCCCACACACACAGGTTGTGTGTGTGGGGTGAGGTTGCACCACAGACACACACACACAGAGACACAGACACACACAGACACACACACACAGACACAGAGGTGGTTGTGTGTGTGGGGTGAGGTTGCACCAGAGACACACACACACAGACACACACACAGCCACACAGAGAGACACACACACAGACACATAGAGGTTGTGTGTGTGTGGGGGGTGAGGTTGCACCAGAGACACACACACAGACACACACAGACACACACAGAGACACACAGACACACACAGACTCACAGAGACACACACACAAACACACACACAGACACACACAGGTTATTGTGTGTGTATGTGTGGGGTAAGGTTGCACCAGAGACACACACAGACACACACACACAGAGACACAGGTTGTTGTGTGTGTGTTTGTGTGTGTGTGTCTGTGTGTATCTGTGTTTGTGTGTCTGTGTGTGTGTCTGTGTGTGTGTGTCTGTGTGTGTGTCTGTGTGTGTGTCTCTGTGTGTGTGTATGTGTGTGTGTCTCTGTGTGTCTGTATGTGTCTGTCTGTGTGTGTGTGTTAAGGTTGCACCATGTCGAGCCCATTGAAGCTGATCGTGAGCGCCGATTCCAACCGTGGGGGGCGGCGCTACATGGAGGACATCACAGAGGTGGGCGGAGTCTCTGTGTGTGTGTGTCTGTGTGTGTGTGTCTGTGTGTCTCTGTGTGTGTCTGTGTGTGTCTCTGTGTGTGTGTCTCTGTGTGTGTGTCTCTGTGTGTGTGTGTCTCTGTGTGTGTGTCTGTGTGTGTCTCTGTGTGTCTCTGTGTTTGTCTGTGTGTGTGTCTCTGTGTGTGTGTCTGTGTGTGTGTGTCTCTGTGTGTGTCTCTGTGTGTGTGTCTCTGTGTGTGTGTCTCTGTGTGTGTCTGTGTGTGTGTCTGTGTGTGTATCTGTGTGTGTTTCTGTGTGTGTGTCTGTGTGTGTCTGTGTGTGTGTGTCTGTGTGTGTGTCTGTGTGTGTGTCTCTGTGTGTGTGTCTGTGTGTGTCTCTGTGTTTCTCTGTGTGTGTCTGTGTGTGTCTGTGTGTCTCTGTGTGTCTCTGTGTGTGTCTGTGTGTATGTGTGTCTCTGTGTGTCTGTGTGTGTCTCTGTGTGTGTCTCTGTGTGTGTCTGTGTGTGTGTCTGTGTGTGTGTCTGTGTGTGTGTCTGTGTGTGTGTCTGTGTGTGTGTCTGTGTGTCTGTGTGTGTCTGTGTGTGTCTGTGTGTGTGTGTCTCTGTGTGTGTCTGTGTGTGTGTGTCTCTGTGTGTTTGGGGAGCGATAGTGTAGCGGTTAGCGCGCTGCACTATGAACCTGGCGACCCCGAGTTCGATTCCCGCTCACGGCCAACGCCCAGTGGCGATTATCTGAACCGGTCCTGGGCCTCCCCCTAGGTCGATTCGGCCTCAAACGAGTACCCGGTGCGGTGCGTGAACATCGCCACCGGGGAGACAAAGGCGGCCGGGCGTGGTGCCGGCCACCCACCCCCTCGTGTGCCCTCGCGGCCATCGCTGGCGCCGCTCGCTAACGGCACTCGCCTCTACGGTCCGCCAAGGCTGCACGGGGGATCTTTGTCCTCTTTGTCCGCCGGGTCGCCGGTCGAGGCCTAGGACCGACCCACAATGCACCGCTCGCGTCACGTGACGTTCCCCTCGCCGCCCCGTGCCCGCAGGTCTCCACCGAGGGCGACGGGGACGCCATCTTCCTGGCCGTGTTCGACGGCCACGGCGGCCCCCAGGCCGCTCGATTCGCCCGCCGCTGCCTCTGGCCCTCGATCCGCGCCCAGCCCGGGCTGTGGGGCGCCGCCGACCCCGTGGGAGTTTGCCACGCCATCCGTGACGGCTTTCTAGCGTGCCAGCGCGCCATGGGGGAGGAGCTGGGTGGGTCTCACGCGTGCTGCGCTATACACTACACTATACACTACTATACTATACACTATACACTACTATACACTACTATATACACTACTATACTATACACTACTATACTATACACTACACTACTATACACTACTATATACACTACACTATACACTACACTATACACTACACTATACACTACACTATACACTACTATACACTACACTATACACTACTATACACTACACTATACACTACACTACTATACACTACACTATACACTACACTATACACTACACTACTATACACTACACTATATACTACACTATACACTACACTATACACTACACTACTATACATTACTATACACTACACTATACACTACACTACTATACACTACTATACACTACACTATACACTACTATACACTACTATGCACTACACTACTATACACTACACTATACACTACACTATACACTACTATACACTACTATACACTACACTATACACTACACTATACACTACTATACACTACTATGCACTACACTACTATACACTATACTATACACTACACTACTATACACTACACTACTATACACTACACTATACACTACACTATACACTACACTATACACTACTATACACTACTATACACTACACTATACACTACACTATACACTACTATACACTACACTACACTATATACTACACACTACACTACACACTACATTACACTATACACTACACTATACACTACACTAAATTAACGTTTTGTTCCACCATTTGAACCTCGTTTGCCTGTAGCACAATATGATAAAAAAAAATTTAACCCTTTCATCTGGCAACAAAACTGACACCATTTTTTTCGTGTACAAGGAGTCATTGTTTGTGCATTGAGCACAATACCTGCGGTCGGAATGCAAACACAAAACACACAGCTCTGATAATGCATTGGCGGTGGAATTGATAAGTCCACACCCGAGACAGCTTCCCTTAGAGCCTCGTCTCACACATGACGTCTCACACGCGGTGTTAGACCAGATGATGATGATGACGTCTCACACTTGCGGTGTTAGACCAGGTGATGATGACGTCTCACACGCGGTGTTAGACCAGATGATGATGACGTCTCACACTTGCGGTGTTAGACCAGGTGATGATGACGTCTCACACTTGCGGTGTTAGACCAGGTGATGATGACGTCTCACACTTGCGGTGTTAGACCAGGTGATGATGACGTCTCACACACGCGGTGTTAGACCAGATGATGATGTCTCACACGCTGTGTTAGACCAGGTGATGACGACGTCTCACACTTGCGGTGTTAGACCAGGTGATGATGACGTCTCACACTTGCGGTGTTAGACCAGATGATGATGACGTCTCACACGTGGTGTTAGACCAGATGATGATGATGACGTCTCACACTTGCGGTGTTAGACCAGGTGATGATGACGTCCTCCACACGCAGTGTTAGATCAGATGATGATGATGTCTCACACTTGCGGTGTTAGACCAGGTGATGATGACGTCTCACACACGCAGTGTTAGACCAGGTGATGATGACGTCTCACACAGGCGGTGTTAGACCAGGTGATGATGACGTCTCACGCTTGCGGTGTTAGACCAGATGATGATGATGACGTCTCACACTTGCGGTGTTAGACCAGGTGATGATGACGTCTCACACTTGCGGTGTTAGACCAGGTGATGATGTCATACACACGGTGTTAGACCATATGATGATGACGTCTCACACTTGCGGTGTTAGACCAGGTGATGATGACGTCTCACACTTGCGGTGTTAGACCAGGTGATGATGACGTCTCACACACGCGGTGTTAGACCAGATGATGATGACGTCTCACACGCTGTGTTAGACCAGGTGATGACGACGTCTCACACTTGCAGTGTTAGACCAGGTGATGATGACGTCTCACACTTGCGGTGTTAGACCAGATGATGATGACGTCTCACACGCGGTGTTAGACCAGATGATGATGATGACGTCTCACACTTGCGGTGTTAGACCAGGTGATGATGACGTCTCACACTTGCGGTGTTAGACCAGGTGATGATGACGTCTCACACTTGCGGTGTTAGACCAGGTGACGATGACGTCTCACACTTGCGGTGTTAGACCAGGTGATGATGACGTCACACACTTGCGGTGTTAGACCAGGTGATGATGACGTCTCACACTTGCGGTGTTAGACCAGGTGATGATGACGTCTCACACTTGCGGTGTTAAAGCAGATGATGATGACGTCTCACACTTGCGGTGTTAGACCAGATGATGATGACATCTCACACGCGGTGTTAGACCAGATGATGATGATGACGTCTCACACTTGCGGTGTTAGACCAGATGATGATGACGTCTCACACGCGGTGTTAGACCAGATGATGATGATGACGTCTCACACTTGCGGTGTTAGACCAGGTGATGATGACGTCTCACACTTGCGGTGTTAGACCAGATGATGATGACGTCTCACACTTGCGGTGTTAGACCAGGTGATGATGACGTCTCACACTTGCGGTGTTAGACCAGGTGACGATGACGTCTCACACTTGCGGTGTTAGACCAGGTGATGATGACGTCACACACTTGCGGTGTTAGACCAGGTGATGATGACGTCTCACACTTGCGGTGTTAGACCAGGTGATGATGACGTCTCACACTTGCGGTGTTAAAGCAGATGATGATGACGTCTCACACTTGCGGTGTTAGACCAGATGATGATGACATCTCACACGCGGTGTTAGACCAGATGATGATGATGACGTCTCACACTTGCGGTGTTAGACCAGATGATGATGACGTCTCACACTTGCGGCGTTAGACCAGATGATGATGATGACGTCACACACTTGCGGCGTTAGACCAGGTGATGATGACGTCTCACACTTGCGGTGTTAGACCAGGTGATGATGACGTCTCACAAACGCAGTGTTAGACCAGATGATGATGATGTCTCACACTTGCGGTGTTAGACCAGGTGATGATGACGTCTCACACACGCAGTGTTAGACCAGGTGATGATGACGTCTCACACAGGCGGTGTTAGACCAGGTGATGATGTCTCACGCTTGCGGTGTTAGACCAGATGATGATGATGTCTCACACTTGCGGTGTTAGACCAGGTGATGATGACGTCTCACACTTGCGGTGTTAGACCAGGTGATGACGTCACACACACGGTGTTAGACCATATGATGATGACGTCTCACACTTGCGGTGTTAGACCAGGTGATGATGACGTCTCACACTTGCGGTGTTAGACCAGATGATGATGACGTCTCACACTTGCGGTGTTAGACCAGGTGATGATTACGCCAAAAGGCGCAACGTTTTGTTGTGTGATTGGGGCCAAATGTAGCTGATAGAGGCAAAATAAACATTGAAATTGGTTTAATTTGTGGATCAGGGAAGGCTCTAAGAAAAGCCGTCTCGGGTGTGGACCAATCAAATTCAAGGACAGTCCCAATATTATTATCAGAGTTGTCTCTTTTGTTTGCATTTTGACTGCTTGTGTTGTGGTTATTGCAAACATGATGCCTTGAATAAAGGTGTCAGTTTTTCTGCCAGTTAAAAGGGTAAAACCTATTACTATATCTTGTTACTGGCAAAGGAGGTCTCATAATGAATTTGATCTTCTCCGATGGATGCTGCTTGATAGCGGAGAGTGAAGAAACGTGAGTGTGGCTGATGCTGTCTGAAGTTACTTAGGAAATAACGAAGAGCAAAGAGAAGTGGTAGAGTTACCAATAAATTGATCAGAGTCTAATTTTATTTTGTCTCAATGTAATGGCAGGGAATATTGACAGAAATAATGTCATCAAACACTTCGCTGCATTTCACTGTAGCACTGCATTAATGGCAGTGAATGTTGCACAATACATTTATTTCACCCATGGCTAATGTGTAAGAGATTCTCGCAACATTTTTCATATTTGATATATTTTTGTTCAATAACATTGAAAATTGTAAAACGTTTCAAAATACCAAAAAACTTTTACAATTTAATTTTTGTTATAACAAATTTAATAACATAAAATTCCGAGCAACAATTGTCCATCTTACCTTCCAGAGGTTTTTTTGGCACACCACCCACCCACTCAATCACTCACCCACCCACCCACTCACACAGTCACTCACCCACTCAGTCACTAACCCACCCACACAGTCACTCACCCACCCACTCACACAGTCACTCACCCACCCACACAGTCACTCACCCACTCAGTCACTAATCCACCCACACAGTCACTCACCCACCCACTCAATCACTCACCCACCCACCCACTCACACAGTCACTCACCCACTCAGTCACTCACCCACCCACACAGTCACTCACCCACTCAGTCACTCACCCACCCACTCAGTCACTCACCCATCCACCCACCCACTCACACAGTCACTCACCCACTAATTCACCCACCCACTCAATCACTCACCCACCCACTCACTCACACAGTCACTCACCCACTCAGTCACTCACTCACCCACCCACCCACACAGTCACTAACCCACTCAGTCACTCACCCACCCACTCAATCACTCACCCACCCACCCACTCACACAGTCACTCACCCACCCACCCACTCAATCACTCACCCACCCACCCACTCAGTCACTAACCCACTCAGTCACTCACCCACCTACTCAGTCACTCACCCACCCACCCACTCACACAGTCACTCACCCACTCAGTCACTCACCCACCCACTCAATTACTCACCCACCCACTCACACAGTCACTCAATCACCCACCTACCCACCCACTCAGTCACTCACCCACACCTCTGTCTAACCCCCCCCCCCTACAGTTAACTGGCCGCGCACACCGCAGGGCCATCCCAGCACCGCAGGCACCACGGCTTGCTGCTGCCTCATCAGGGGCGGTGACGAGCTCTACGTCGCCCACGTGGGAGACTCGCGAGCCGTCATCGCCCAGCGGCACCCCCGGGGGGGGGGCACCCCCGCCGACGGACCCCCCCCCCCCTTCAATGCACCCCGTCTATTCATTGGCCCCCCCTTCCTCACTGCGACCCATTTATTCAGCGGGCCCCCCTTCTTCCTTGCGCCCCATTTATTCAGCGGACCCCCCTTCGGACATGGGCCCCCCTTCTGTGAAGGCCCACCTAGCCTGGGACGGAACCCCACCTACGCATGGCCAAGTTGTGGCGGACTTCATAGCGCCCATCGGCCAAGCCGTGGCAACACCGCAACCACCGCCACTGTCACAACCACCACAACTACAACCACAACCACCACTGTCACAACCACCACAACCACCACCACCACTGTCACAACCACCACCACCACTGTCACAACCACCACCACTGTCACAACCACCACCACCACCACGGCCACCACTGTCACAACCACCACCACCACCACTGTCACAACCACCACCACCACCACCACGGCCACCACCACTGTCACAACCACCACCACCACTGTCACAACCACCACCACCACCGCTGTCACAACCACCACCACCACTGTCACAACCACCGCCACCACCACGGCCACCACTGTCACAACCACCACCACTACAACCACCGCCACGGCCACCACTGTCACAACCACCACCACCACTGTCACAACCACCACCACCACCACTGTCACAACCACCACCACCACCACTGTCACAACCACCGCCACCACCACGGCCACCACTGTCACAACCACCACCACCACCGCCCCGGCAGGAGGTGGACAAGGAGGAGGTGGTGGACGAGGTGGAGGAGGAGGTGGACGAGGTGGTGGACGAGATGGAAGAGGAGGAGGTGGACAAGGAGGTGGTGGTGGACAAGGAGGTGGACAAGGTGGTGGAGGTGGACGAGGTGGTGGAGGAGGTGGACGAGGTGGTGGATGAGGAGGTGGACGAGGTGGAGGAGGAGGTGGTGGACGAGGTGGTGGACGAGGTGGTGCCGCTACTTGCCGTGGCGTTGACGCGCGACCACAAGCCGGAGGATCCAGTGGAGAGGGAACGCATCGAGAGGCTGGGCGGGCGGTAAGACATTCGTGTGTATGTGTGTGTGTGCCTATGATACCATCAGTAGGCCTGGGCTCTGGGTCGTTCTTCGTGCTTTTGGAGTACCTGACCCTCTGCTCACGATCATTAAGGACCTTCATGATGGTGAGCGGGCCCGGGTAAAACTACGTGGCCGGGAGTCAGAGCCATTCCCTGTACACCTTGGGGTGCGACAGGGATGTCCTCTGGCTCCCACATTATTTAACATCTATTTTGACCGCGTAGTTCGTGAAGCCTTCAGTAGCTGTACCGGGGGAATCTTCATATGGTACAGATATAATGGGAGGCTGATCGATGCCCGGGTGCGGTCAAAGGATGGCTCCCTATTGCTCAACCACGTTATGTATGCTGATGATTTGGTAATAGCTGCTCATTCAGAGGAGGAATTGGAGACGCTGCTGCTGAGACTGGAGCGTGCCACTAAGAGGTGGGGCCTTACCATCAGCCCCACCAAAACTAAGCACCTGCCTGGGTATTTTGTACCATCGGACACTCCACCCCCACAACTCCCAATTGGTGATGGGGCAGTTGTGGAGAGAGTGGAGAGTTTCCCATACCTGGGCAGTGTGCTTATGACTGGCTCCAGTTTAACAGCAGAGGTCTCACTCCGAATCAGTCGAGCGGCAATATCTTTTCATCGGTTGCGTAACGTGTGGAAGCTACCTGGTCTGTCGCTCCACACTAAGCTTCAGGTCTTCTCGGCCACGGTCATTCCCTCCCTTCTCTACGCTTGCGAAACGTGGACCCCCCTAATGAAACATATTCGCCGGTTAGAAACATTTAGGCTGGCCTGCCTACGATCCATCCTGGGTTTAACCAGACTGGATTGTGTGAGGAGCTCACAAATCCTTGAAAGATCTGGGCAAGGTCCCATCGGTGAGCTCCTCCGGCGGGCAAGGCTGCGATGGCTGGGTCATGTAGCCCGCATGCCCAGCCAACGCATGCCGAAACAGCTTTTGTTCAGCCGGATTGAGGGGGCTAAGTGGGCACGGCACGGGCTAGAGAAGAGATGGAGTGATGTGGTACAGGAGGACGTGGAGCTGAGTGGACTTGCCGATGACTGGTACCAGCGGTGTCAAGATCGGCCTCTGTGGAGGAGGCTCGTGAAGGATGCTACTGGGCAGTTGGAGGCAGTCGCCCTCCAACAACAACGGAGGGCGGAGGAGCGACGCTCAGAACAACGAGCGGAGCGCCGGGTGGCTAAAGCACAGCAGGTTGGCACAGTAGGGGGCACAGGTGGTGCATCAGCCAGTCATCTCAGTCAGTCGACCCGTGGCACCTGGGTCTGCCCCGTGACCTCCTGCCAGCGGGCGTTCGACACTTCACGTGGCCTCAGGGTGCACATAGCCTGGCACAAGCGTCGTGGTGACGTCACCGCCACTTAGTGGCGAATGGCGGTTGTTGTTGTTGTTGTGTGTATGTGGAGCCAGGAGATTGAATATCTACCCTCGGGGCTCCTCCAGAAACAACGAAAAACCACTACGGGTGGCCACGTGGAATGTTCGAACGCTCACTGCGGAGGAGAGGCTGCCACTCCTCTGTCGGGAGCTGGACCGGTACCGCCTGGATCTATGTGGCATTCAGGAGATCCGGTGGACCGGCTCTGGCTCCTGCCACCATGAGGGGTGGACAGTCCTATACTCGGGGCAGCAGACTGCTAAACAACAGGGTGTGGCTCTTCTTTTGAACAAAATAATGAAGGGGGCGTGGGAGCGTGGCGGTGAGGTGTGAGAAGCTGTAAGTCCCAGGCTACTTTGGGCTCGCCTTCCCATCAACCGGAGGCGAGGAATGGTGGTCGTGGTTACTTATGCCCCCACCGAAGATGAACATCCGTGGAGGGATGCAGGCAAAGCCGATGAGTCAGATGCCTTCTATGACCTGTCACAGGTGCTGGCTAAAGTGGGCCCTCGGGATAGAGTCATCATGTTGGGTGACTTCAATGCCCGAGTTGGTCATGATACTGGCACCTGGTCTGGAGTGATTGGAGAGCATGGGCCAGATCAGCTCAATAACAACGGTAGGAGGCTACTAGATTTTTGTGCAGCCCATGGGCTTGTAATTTCCAACACGCTGTTCCGGCATCGGCGCATCCACACAACATCATGGATGCATGCCGGGTCCAAGCAAGAACATCTGCTGGACTACCTAGTGACGGACCAGCGGATGCGAGCCCATGTCCTTGACACCAGGACCTACCATGGAGCTGATCTGCCCTCTGACCATCGACTAGTCATCTGTAAGATGCGCCTGCCATTCTTCCACTCTGGTGGTGGGTGTACACCCAGGACCCCATTACAACCTAAAGTGGCCTGGTCTCAGTTATTTGATGAAAGTTGCAAGCGAGAATTTCATCATCGCTTGCGGCTGGGATTGGCATCGTCCCCGACTCCTCCTGATGTCGAGGGTAAATGGGCGAGGTTTAGGACTGTGGCTCATGTAGCTGCAATGGCTGCTTTGGGTACGCGGTCCAGACCTCCCCAGAGACCCTGGCTGACAGAGGAGGTGTTCAGGATGGTTGAGAAAAAGCGACAGGCCCACTGTCATCGGCTACAGAATCCCACGTCAGAGAATGAGGAGGCTTACCGCAGCCTTCGCTCGGAAGTTCGGAGAGCCGTGAGGCGCTGCAAGGATGGGTGGTGGTCGCGGGTTGCTGAGGAGATGGAGTCTGCATCAGTGGCCCGGGATCACAAATCTCTATTTAACTCCATCAAAAAAGTAACCTGCAGCGCCACACCTATTACCATCATTAGGGGGAAAAACGGTGATCCAATCTCCGACCCCCAGGAACAGGTTTACAGATTTGCTGAGCATTTCTGTGAGGTCTTGGGGGAGGGAAAATCCCTCAGCCAGGAAAACATCGTGGCACAAAGGGAGGATGACCCTGCTGAGGCTGCGGTGCCTCAAATATTGGAAGAAGTCACCCCCTGTGAGTGGCTGGCTGAGGTGCCATCTGTTGAGGAAGTACTGAAGGCGATCCGGAGTCTGAGATCAGGAAAGGCAGCGGGCAGAGATGATCTCCCAAGCGAAATGCTGAGGGAGGGCGGCGTTTGTGCACAGACTGCCCTATATGACATCATAACAACAGTCTGGACCACTGGACGGGTTCCGCAGGATTGGAAGGATGCCCTGGTGGTCCCCCTTTTTAAGAAGGGGGACCGCACAGACTGTAACAACTACAGAGGCATCTCACTCCTCAGTGTGCCGGGAAAGGTCCTGGCAAGGATTATTCAACATCGCCTTGCCAGGCACGCTGAGGAGTGGCTTGCGGAGCCCCAATGCGGTTTCAGGAAAGGGCGGTCCTGCACAGATGCCATATTTTCTGTCCGTCTGCTACAGCAGAGGTGTAGGGAATTCCAAAAATACCTACTTTTCTGCTTTCTTGACCTGGTCAAGGCCTATGATACCATCAGTAGGCCTGGGCTCTGGGTTGTTCTTCGTGCTTTTGGAGTACCTGACCCTCTGCTCAAGATCATTAAGGACCTTCATGATGATGAGCGGGCCCGGGTAAAACTACGTGGCCGGGAGTCAGAGCCATTCCCTGTACACCTTGGGGTGCGACAGGGATGTCCTCTGGCTCCCACATTATTTAACATCTATTTTGACCACGTAGTTCGTGAAGCCTTCAATAGCTGTACCGGGGGAATCTCCATATGGTACAGATATAATGGGAGGCTGATCGATGCCCGGGTGCGGTCAAGGGATGGCTCCCTATTGCTCAACCACGTTATGTCTGCTGATTTGGTAATAGCTGCTCATTCAGAGGAGGAGTTGGAGACGCTGCTGCTGAGACTGGAGCGTGCCACTAAGAGGTGGGGCCTTACCATCAGCCGCACCAAAACTAAGCACCTGCCTGGGTATTTTGTACCATCGGACACTCCACCCCCACAACTCCCAATCGGTGATGCGGCAGTTATGGAGATTGTGGAGAGTTTCCCATACCTGGGCAGTGTGCTTATGACCGGCTCCAGTTTAACAGCAGAGGTCTCACTCCGAATCAGTCGAGCGGCAATATCTTTTCATCGGTTGCGTAACGCTGTGTGGAAGCTACCTGGTCTGTCGCTCCGCACTAAGCTTCAGGTCTTCTCGGCCACGGTCAATCCCTCCCTTCTATACGCTTGCGAAACATGGACCCCCCTAATGGAACATCTTTGCCGGTTAGAAACATTTAGGCTGGCCTGCCTACGATCCATCCTGGGTTTAACCAGACTGGATTGTGTGAGGAGCTCACAAATCCTTGAAAGATCTGGGCAAGGTCCCATCGGTGAGCTCCTCCGGTGGGCAAGGCTGCGATGGCTGGGTCATGTAGCCCGCATGCCCAGCCACCTCATGCCGAAACAGCTTTTGTTCGGCCAGATTGAGGGGGCTAAGCGGGCGCAGCACGGGCTAGAGAAGAGATGGAGTGATGTGGTACAGGAGGACGTGGAGCTGAGTGGACTTGCCGATGACTGGTACCAGCGGTGTCAAGATCGGCCTCTGTGGAGGAGGCTCGTGAAGGACGCTACTGGGCAGTTGGAGGCAGTCGCCCACCAACAACAACGGAGGGCAGAGGAGCGACGCTCACAACAACGAGCGGAGCGCCGGGTGGCTAAAGCACAGCAGGTTGGCACAGTAGGGGGCACAGGTGCTGCATCAGCCAGTCATCTCAGTCAGTCGACCCGTGGCACCTGGGTCTGCCCCGTGACCTCCTGCCAGCGGGCGTTCGACACTTCACGTGGCCTCAGGGTGAACATAGCCTGGCACAAGCGTCGTGGTGACGTCACCGCCACTTAATGGCGAATGGCGGTTGTTGTTGTTCTTGTGTATGTGTGTGTATGTGTGTGTGTGTATGTGTGTGTGTATGTGTGTATGTGTGTGTATGTGTGTGTGTCTGTGTGTGTATGTGTGTGTCTGTGTGTCTGTGCGTGTGTGTGTATGTGTGTCTGTGTGTGTTTATGTGTATAATACCCAGGCACCTGCCTGGGTATTTTGTACCATCGGACACTCCACCCCCACAACTCGCAATCGGTGATGGGGCAGTTGTGGAGAGAGTGGAGAGTTTCCCATACCTGGGCAGTGTGCTTATGACCGGCTCCAGTTTAACAGCAGAGGTCTCACTCCGAATCAGTCCAGCGACAATATCTTTTCATCGGTTGTGTAACGCTGTGTGGAAGCTACCTGGTCTGTCGCTCCACAGTAAGCTTCAGGTCTTCTCGGCCACGGTCATTCCCTCCCTTCTCTACGCTTGCGAAACGTGGACCCCCCTAATGAAACATATTCGCCGGTTAGAAACATTTAGGCTGGCCTGCCTACGATCCATCCTGGGTTTAACCAGACTGGATTGTGTGAGGAGCTCACAAATCCTTGAAAGATCTGGGCAAGGTCCCATCGGTGAGCTCCTCCGGCGGGCAAGGCTGCGATGGCTGGGTCATGTAGCCCGCATGCCCAGCCACCGCATGCCAAAACAGCTTTTGTTCGGCCGGATTGAGGGGGCTAAACGAGCGCGGCACGGGCTAGAGAAGAGATGGAGTGATGTGGTACAGGAGGACGTGGAGCTGAGTGGACTTGCCGATGACTGGTGCCAGCGGTGTCAAGATCGGCCTCTGTGGAGGAGGCTTGTGAAGGACGCTTCTGGGCAGTTGGAGGCAGTCGCCCTCCAACAACAACGGAGGGCGGAGGAGCGACGCTCACAACAATGAGCGGAACGCCGGGTGGCTAAAGCACAGCAGGTTGCCACAGTAGGGGGCACAGGTGGTGCATCAGCCAGTCGTCTCAGTCAGTCGACCCGTGGCACCTGGGTCTGCCCCGTGACCTCCTGCCCGCGGGCGTTCGAGACTTCACGTGGCCTCAGGGTGCACATAGCCTGGCACAAGCGTCGTGGTGACGTCACCGCCACTTAGTGGCGAATGGCGGTTGTTGTTGTGTGTGTGTATATATGTGTGTGTGTGTGTATGTGTGTATGGGTGTATGGGGAGGAGTAGTGTAGTGGTTTGCGCGCTGTGCTACGAACCTGATGACCCGGGTTCGATTCCCGCTCACAGCCAACACCAGTCACGATTATCTGAACCGGTCCAGGGCCTCCCCTAGGTCGACTAAGCCTCAAATGAATACCTGGTGCGGTGTGTAAACATCGCCACTAGGGATACAAAGGCGGCCGGGCGTGGTGCTGGGCACCCACCCCCTCGTGTACCTTTCCGGCATTCGTAGGTGCTGCTCGCTAACAGCACTTGCCCCTACAGTCTGTTACAGGCTACACGGGGGATCTTTGTCTTTGTGTGTGCTCGCTAACAGCACTTGCCCCTACAGTCTGTTACAGGCTACACAGAGGATCTTTGTCTTTGTGTGTGCTCGCTAACAGCACTTGCCCCTACAGTCTGTTACAGGCTACACGGGGGATCTTTGTCTTTGTGTGTGCTCGCTAACAGCACTTGCCCGTACAGTCTGTTAAGGCTACACGGGGGATCTTTGTCTTTGTGTGTCTGCCCACCAGGGTGATGAGGAAGCCAGGGGGGCCTTGCCGTGTGGCCTGGAGGAGGCCCCTTGTGGCTCACTGCGGCCCTGGGCAGCAAAGCTCAGCCACGGAGGACATCCCCTTCCTGGCCGTGTCACGCTCCCTCGGTACACACACACACACCTACACACACACCTACACACACACCTACACACACACACACCTACACACACACACAGCTACACACACACCTACACAACAACAACAACAACCGCCATTCGCCACTAAGTGGCGGTGACGTCACCACGACGCTTGTGCCAGGCTATGTGCACCCTGAGGCCACGTGAAGTGTCGAACGCCCGCTGGCAGGAGGTCACGGGGCAGACCCAGGTGCCACGGGTCGACTGACTGAGATGACTGGCTGATGCACCACCTGTGCCCCCTACTGTGCCAACCTGCTGTGCTTTAGCCACCCGGCGCTCCGCTCGTTGTTCTGAGCGTCGCTCCTCCGCCCTCCGTTGTTGTTGGAGGGCGACTACCTCCAACTGCCCAGTAGCATCCTTCACGAGCCTCCTCCACAGAGGCCGATCTTGACACCGCTGGTACCAGTAATCGGCAAGTCCACTCAGCTCCACGTCCTCCTGTACCACATCACTCTATCTCTTCTCTAGCCCGTGCCGCGCTCGTTTAGCCCCCTCAATCCGGCCGAACAAAAGCTGTTTCGGCATGCGGTGGCTAGGCATGCGGGCTACATGACCCAGCCATCACAGCCTTGCCCGCCGGAAGAGCTCACCGATGGTGCCTTGCCCAGATCTTTCAAGGATTTGTGAGCTCCTCACACAATCCAGCCTGGTTAAACCCAGGATGGATCGTAGGCAGGCCAGCCTAAATGTTTCACACCGGCGAAGATGTTCCATTAGGGGGGTCCACGTTTCGCAAGCGTAGAGATGGGAGGGAATGACCGTGGCCGAGAAGACTTGACGCTTAGTGCGGAGCGACAGACTAGGTAGCTTCCACACAGCGTTACGCAACCGATCAAAAGATATTGCCGCTCGACTGATTCGGAGTGAGACCTCTGCTGTTAAACTGGAGCCGGTCATAAGCACACTGCCCAGGTATGGGAAACTCTCCACTCTCTCCACAACTGCCCCATCACCGATTGGGAGTTGTGGGGGTGGAGTGTCCGATGGTACAAAATACCCAGGCAGGTGCTTAGTTTTGGTGGGGCTGATGGTAAAGCCCCACCTCTTAGTGGCACGCTCCAGTCTCAGCAGCAGCGTCTCCAACTCCTCCTCTGAATGAGCAGCTATTACCAAATCATCAGCATACATGACGTGGTTGAGCAATAGGGAGCCATCCCTTGACCGCACCCGGGCATCGATCAGCCTACCATTATATATGTACCATATGGAGAGTCCCCCGGTACAGCTATTGAAGGCTTCACGAACTACATGGTCAAAATAGATGTTAAATAATGTGGGAGCCAGAGGACATCCCTGTCGCACCCCAAGGTGTACAGGGAATGGCTCTGACTCCCGGCCACGTAGTTTTACCCGGGCCCGCTCACCATCATGAAGGTCCTTAATGATCGTGAGCAGAGGGTCAGGTACTCCAAAAGCACGAAGAACAACCCAGAGCCCAGGTCTACTGATGGTATCATAGGCCTTGACCAGGTCAAGAAAGCAGATATGTAGGTCTTTTTGGAATTCCCTACAACTCTGCTGTAGCAGACGGACAGAAAATATGGCATCTTTGCAGGACCGCCCTTTCCTGAAACCGCATTGGGGCTCCGCAAGCCTCTCCTCAGCGTGCCTGGCAAGGCGATGTTGAATAATCCTTGCCAGGACCTTTCCCGGCACACTGAGGAGTGAGATGCCCCTGTAGTTGTTACAGTCCTGCGGAACCCGTCCAGTGGTCCAGACTGTTGTTATGATGTCATATAGGGCAGTCTGTGCACAAACGCCGCCCTCCCTCAGCATTTCGCTTGGGAGATCATCTCTGCCCGCTGCCTTTCCTGGTCTCAGACTCCGGATGGCCTTCAGTACTTCCTCAACAGATGGCACTTCAGCCAGCCACTCACAGGGGGTGACTTCTTCCAATATTTGAGGCACCGCAGCCTCAGCAGGGTCATCCTCACTTTGTGCCACGATATTTTCCCGGCTGAGGGATTTTCCCTCCCCCAGGACCTCACAGAAATGCTCAGCAAATCTGCAAACCTGTTCCTGGGGGTCGAAGATTGGGTCACCGTTTTTTCCCCTAATGATGGTAATAGGTGTTGCGCTGCAAATTACTTTTTGGATGGAGTTAAATAGAGATTTGTGATCACGGGCCACTGAGGCAGACTCCATCTCCTCAGCAACCCGCGACCACCACCCATCCTTGCAGCACCTCATGGCTCTCCGAACCTCCGAGCGAAGGCTGCGGTAAGCCTCCTCATTCTCTGACGTGGGATTCTGTAACCGATGACAGTGGGCCTGTCGTTTTTTCTCAACCATCCTGAACACCTCCTCTGTCAGCCAGGGTCTCTGGGGAGGTCTGGACCGCGTACCCAAAGCAGCCATTGCAGCTGCATGAGTCACAGTCCTAAACCTCGCCCATTTACCCTCGACATCAGGAGGAGTCGGGGACGATGCCAATCCCAGCCGCAAGCGATGATGAAATTCTCGCTTGCAACTTTCATCAGATAACTGAGACCAGGCCACTTTAGGTTGGAATGGGGTCCTGGGTGTACACCCACCACCGGAGTTGAAGAATAGCAGGCACATCTTACAGATGACTAGTCGGATGGTCAGAAGGCAGATCAGCTCCACGGTAGGTCCTGGTGTCAAGGACATGGGCTAGCATCCGCTGGTCCGTCACTATGTAGTCCAGCAGATGTTCTTGCTTGGACCCGGCATGCATCCATGATGTTGTGTGGATGCGCCGATGCCGGAACAGCGTGTTGGTAATTACTAGCCCATGGGTTGCACAAAAATCTAGCAGCCTTCTACCGTTGTTATTGAGCTGATCTAGCCCATGCCCTCCAATCACTCCAGACCAGGTGCCAGTATCATGACCAACTCGGGCATTTAAGTCACCCAACATGATGACTCTATCCCGAGGGGCCACTTTAGCCAGCACCTGTGACAGGAGGTCATAGAAGGCATCTGACTCATCGGCTTTGCCTGCATCCCTCCACGGATGTTCATCTTCGGTGGGGGCATAAGTAACCACGACCACCATTCCTCGCCTCCAGTTGATGGGAAGGCGAGCCCAAAGTAGCCTGGGACTTACAGCTTCCCACACCTCACCGCCATGTTCCCACGCCCCATTATTCTTTTGTTCAAAAGAAGAGCCACACCCTGTTGTTTGGCAGTCTGCTGCCCCGAGTAGAGGACTGTCCACCCCTCATAGTGGCAGGAGCCAGAGCCGGTCCACCGGACCTCCTGAATGTCACATAGATCCAGGCGGTACCGGTCCAGCTCCCGACAGAGGAGTGGCAGCCTCTCCTCCGCAGTGAGTGTTCGAACATTCCACGTGGCCACCCGTAGTGGTTTTTCGTTGTTTCTGGAGGAGCCCCGAGGGTAGATATTCAATCTCCTGGCTCCGCCAATTGGGGTTTGGCCAGGAGACGTCATAGACGCCTGGCCTCCCGGGGCCTCCGGCACAAGCTTATTAGTTATATATTCTTAATTCGTGGTTTAGTGGTAATTAATTGAAGGTGGAGGGGTTACCAGCCCCTCACATCCATCCAGAGCCCCCGTTTAGCCCCTGTGGTGGACACATATGCCATGAGGGGAGGAGCCAATCAAAATTGGACCTCCCCCCACAGCACTGTCCACGACAGAGTTGCCCGTCCGGCACACACACCTACACACACACCTACACACACCTACACACACACCTATACACACACCTACACACACCTACACACACCTACACACACACCTACACACACACCTACACACACACCCCTACACACACACACCTACACACACACCTACACACACACCTACACACACCTACACACACACCTACACACACACCTATACACACCCGTGGCACCTCCTGGCGACCTCCTGCCAGCGGGCATTCGACACTTCATCTGGCGTTAAAAGTGCACGTAGCCTGGCACAGGCGCCCTGGTTATGTCATCGCCACCTAGTGGCGAATGGCGGTTGTTGTGAAACGTGTGTTCATGTATATGTGTGTGTACGCGTAGGTGTGTTTACGTGTGTGTTTACGAGTGTGTGTACGCGTGTGTACGTGTGTGTGTGTACGTGTGTGTGTGTACGTGTGTGTGTACGTGTGTGTACGTGTGTGTGTACGTGTGTGTACGTGTGTGTGTACATGTGTGTGTACGTGTGTGCGTGTGTACGTGTGTGTGTACGTGTGTCCGTGTGTGTACGTGTCCGTGTGTGTGTGTACGTGTGTGTGTGTGTACGTGTGTGTACGTGTGTGTACGTGTGTGTGTGTGTACGTGTGTAAGTGTGTGTGTACGTGTGTGTGTGTACATGTGTGTGTGTACGTGTGTGTGTGTACGTGTGTGCGTACGTGTGTACGTGTGTGTGTGTGTACGTGTGTGTGTGTGTGTACGTGTGTGTGTGTACGTGTGTGTGTGTGTACGTGTGTGTGTACGTGTGTGTGTGTACGTGTGTGTGTACGTGTGTGTGTACGTGTGTGTACGTGTGTGTGTGTGTACGTGTGTGAGTGTGTACGTGTGTGAGTGTGTACGTGTGTGTGTGTACGTGTGTGTGTACGTGTGTGTGTGTGTACGTGTGTGTGTACGTGTGTGTGAGTGTGTACGTGTGTGAGTGTGTACGTGTGTGAGTACGTGTGTGTGTGTACGTGTGTGTGTGTGGTACGTGTGTGTGTGTACGTGTGTACGTGTGTGTGTGTGTTGGCGATATCCCACAGGGGACCTCTGGAGCTACGACTTTGCGAGCGCCCAGTTTGTGGTCTCCCCCGAGCCGGACGTCAGCGCCTACAGGCTGGACCCAGGGCACCACCGCTACCTGGTGCTGGCCACCGACGGAGTCTGGGATGTCCTCACGCCCACAGAGGCCGTGGCGCTCTGTCATCGGGCGGACGCACAGCAGCAGCAGCGAGCACGGGCACGTCTACATACACACACACACACGTCTACATACACACAAACGTCTACATACACACACACACGTCTACATACATACACACACACACGTCTACATACACACACACACACACGTCTACATACACACACACACACGTCTACATACACACACACACACGTCTACATACACACACACACACACACGTCTACATACACACACACGTCTACATACACACACGTCTACATACACACACACACGTTTACACACACACTATACACACACACACGTCTACATACACTCACACACGTCTACATACACGCACACACGTCTACATACACACACACGTCTACATACACACACACGTCTACATACACACACGTCTACACACACACACACGTCTACATACACACAACAACAACCGCCATTCGCCACTAAGTGGCGGTGACGTCACCACGACGCTTGTGCCAGGCTATGTGCACCCTGAGGCCACGTGAAGTGTCGAACGCCCGCTGGCAGGAGGTCACGGGGCAGACCCAGGTGCCACAGGTCGACTGACTGAGATGACTGGCTGATGCACCACCTGTGCCCCCTACTGTGCCAACCTGCTGTGCTTTAGCCACCCGGCGCTCCGCTCGTTGTTCTGAGCGTCGCTCCTCCGCCCTCCGTTGTTGTTGGAGGGCGACTGCCTCCAACTGCCCAGTAGCATCCTTCACGAGCCTCCTCCACAGAGGCCGATCTTGACACCGCTGGTACCAGTCATCGGCAAGTCCACTCAGCTCCACGTCCTCCTGTACCACATCACTCCATCTCTTCTCTAGCCCGTGCCGCGCCCGCTTAGCCCGCTCAATCTGGCCAAACAAAAGCTGTTTCGGCATGCGGTGGCTGGGCATGCGGGCTACATGACCCAGCCATCGCAGCCTTGCCTGCCGGAGGAGCTCACCGATGGGACCCTGCCCAGATCTTTCAAGGATTTGTGAGCACCTCACACAATCCAGTCTGGTTAAACCCAGGATGGATCGTAGGCAGGCCAGCCTAAATGTTTCCAACCGGCGAGAGAAGGGAGGGAATGACCGTGGCCGAGAAGACCTGAAGCTTAGTGCGGAGCGAGAGACCAGGTAGCTTCCACACAGCGTTACGCAACCGATGAAAAGATATTGCCGCTCGACTGATTCGGAGTGAGACCTCTGCTGTTAAACTGGAGCCAGTCATAAGCACACTGCCCAGGTATGGGAAACTCTCCACTCTCTCCACAACTGCCCCATCACCGATTGGGAGTTGTGGGGGTGGAGTGTCCGATGGTACAAAATACCCAGGCAGGTGCTTAGTTTTGGTGGGGCTGATGGTAAGGCCCCACCTCTTAGTGGCACGCTCCAGTCTCAGCAGCAGCGTCTCCAACTCCTCCTCTGACTGAGCAGCTATTACCAAATCATCAGCATACATAACGTGGTTGAGCAATAGGGAGCCATCCCTTGACCGCACCCGGGCATCGATTAGCCTCCCATTATATCTGTACCATATGGAGATTCCCCCGGTACAGCTATTGAAGGCTTCACGAACTACGTGGTCAAAATATATGTTAAATAATGTGGGAGCCAGAGGACATCCCTGCCGCACCCCAAGGTGTGCAGGGAATGGCTCTGACTCCCGGCCACGTAGTTTTACCCGGGCCCGCTCACTATCATGAAGGTCCTTAATGATCGTGAGCAGAGGGTCAGGTACTCCAAAAGCACGAAGAACGACCCAGAGCCCAGGCCTACTGATGGTATCATAGGCCTTGACCAGGTCAATAAAGCAGAGATGTAGGTCTTGTTGGAATTCCCTACACCTCTGCTGTAGCAGACGGACAGAAAAATGGCATCTGTGCAGGACCGCCCTTTCCTGAAACCGCATTGGGGTTCCGCAAGCCTCTCCTCAGCGTGCCTGGCAAGGCGATGTTGAATAATCCTTGCCAGGACCTTTCCCGGCACACTGAGGAGTGAGATGCCCCTGTAGTTGTTACAGTCTGTGCGGTCCCCCTTCTTAAAAAGGGGGACCACCAGGGCATACTTCCAATCCTGCGGAACCCGTCCAGTGGTCCAGACACACACACACATATACACACACACGTCTACATACACACACACACGTCTACATACACACACACGTCAACATACACACACACACGTCTACATACACACACACACGTCTACATACACACACACACGTCTACATACACACACACGTCTACATACACACACACACGTCTACATACACACACACACGTTTACATACACACACACGTCTACATACACACACACACTATATACACACACACACACGTCTACATACACACACACACACGTCTACATACACACACACACGTCTACACACACACACACACACGTCTACACACACACACACGTCTACATACACGCACACACGTCTACATACACACACACATATACACACACGTCTACATACACACACACACGTCTACATACACACACACGTCTACATACACACACACACACACGTATATATACACACACACGTCTACACACACACACACGTCTACATACACACACACACGTCTACATACACACACACGTCTACACACACACACGTCTACATGCACACACACACACTATACATACACACACTATATACACACACACACACGTCTACACACACACACGTCTACATGCACACACACGTCTACATACACACACACACGTCTGCATACACACACACGTCTACATACACACACACACATATACACACACACGTCTACATACACACACACACGTCTACATACACACACACACACGTCTACACACACACACGTCTACATACACACACACACGTCTACATACACACAAACACGTCTACACACACACACACACGTCTACATACACACACACACACGTCTACATACACACACACACATATACACACACGTCTACATACACACACGTCTACATACACACACACAATATACACACACACACACACGTCTACATACACACACACGTCTACATACACACACACACGTCTACATGCACACACACACACACTATGTCTACACACACACGTCTACATATACACACACGTCTACACACACACGTCTACGCACACACACGTCTACGCACACACACTATATACATACACACACACACACGTCTACATGCACTTACACGTCTCATCCTGCAGGCCAGCGGCGGTGGTGCCGGTGGTTGTGCTGCTGGTGGTGCCGGTGGTTGTGCTGGTGGTGGTGCCGGTGGTTGTGCTGGTGGTGCTGCCGGTGGTTGTGCTGCTGGTGGTTCCGGTGGTTGTGCTGGTGGTGCTGCCGGTGGTTGTGCCGGTGGTTGTGCTGCTGGTGGTGCTGGTTGTTGTGCCGGTGGTGCCAGCAGCAGCAGCAGCAACAGCAGCAGCAGCAGCGGTGTAGACCTGACGCTGGCGCAGGCGCTGGTGGCGGAGGCGCTGTCCCGCTGGCACCGGCTCGGCACCAAGGCCGACAACGTGAGCGCCGTGGTGGCGCGGCTGTGCCCGTCGGCGGCGTCGCCGGCGCCCCGGCTCGGTGCCGACGGCGCCGCCGGCGCCGAGCTCGTTGCCGGCGGAGGAGGAATGGTCGCTGGTGGTGGTGGTGGTGGCGCTGTCCGTGCGTCAGCCCTGGCCAGGAGTGGAACCGAGGTTCTACGAGGGCCGGGCACCGAGGAGCTACCCAGCAACAACAGCAGCAGCAGCAACAACAACAGCAGCAGCAGCGGCAACAGCAGCAGTGGGAAGTTCACTCCACTGCTGGCTGACCTGGTGAGGGCACCGTCACGATGCGTGGTGTGTGTGTGTGTACGTGTGTATGTGTGTGCGTGTGTACGTGTGTTTGTGTGTATGTGTATTTGTGTGCGTGTGTGTGTGTTTGTGTGTATGTGTGCGTGTTTGTGTGTGTGTACGTGTGTACGTGTGCGTGCGTGTGCGTGTGTGTGTGCGTGTACGTGTGTTTGTGTGTATGTGTGTACGTGTGTGTGTTTGTGTGTATGTGTGCGTGTTTGTGTGTGTGTGTATATGTGTTTATGTGTGTTTGTGTGTATGTGTGCGTGTTTGTGTGTGTACGTGTGTGTGTGTGTATATGTGTTTGTGTGTGTATGTGTGTTTGTGTGTATGTGTGTGTGTTTGTGTGTACGTGTGTGTGTGCGTGTGGATGTGTACGTGTGTGTGTACGTGTGTTTGTGTGTATGTGTGTTTGTGTGTAAGTGTGCGTGTGTTTGTCTGTCCAGCGAAACGATCCCCTACCTCATTGGTGTCGGACGGTAATGCTGTGACTCTGTGTGTGGTGAGTCTATGGGTCTCTGTGTGTGGTGAGTCTATGGGTCTCTGTGTGTGGTGAGTCTATGGGTCTCTGTGTGTGGTGAGTCTATGAGTCTCTGTGTGTGGTGAATCTATGGGTCTCTGTGTGTGGTGAGTCTATGGGTCTCTGTGTGTGGTGAGTCTATGGGTCTCTGTGTGTGGTGAGTCTATGAGTCTCTGTGTGTGGTGAGTCTGTGGGTCTCTGTGTGTGGTGAGTCTATGGGTCTCTGTGTGTGGTGAGTCTATGGGTCTCTGTGTGTGGTGAGTCTATGGGTATCTGTGTGTGGTGAGTATATGGGTCTCTATGTGTGGTGAGTCTATGGGTCTCTGTGTGTGGTGAGTCTATGGGTCTCTGTGTGGTGAGTCTATGGGTCTCTGTGTGTGGTGAGTCTATGGGTCTCTGTGTGTGGTGAGTCTATGGGTCTCTGTGTGTGGTGAGTCTATGGGTCTCTGTGTGTGGTGAGTCTATGGGTCTCTATGTGTGGTGAGTCTATGGGTCTCTGTGTGTGGGTAACTCCCCACCCCCTCCCTTTCCAGGGCTGCAGCCAGGAGGAGATTCCCAGCAAGCGCAGCCGCAGGAGCGGCCCTCACGAGGGCACCGCCTCAGACTAGCACCTCAGACTAGCGCCTCAGACTAGTACCTCAGACTAGCGCCTCAGACTAGCACCTCAGACTAGCACCTCAGACTAGCACCTCAGACTGGCGCCTCAGACTAGCACCTCAGACTGGCGCCTCAGACTAGCGCCTCAGACTAGCGCCTCAGACTAGTGCCTCAGACTAGTGCCTCAGACTAGCGCCTCAGACTGGTGCCTCAGACTAGCACCTCAGACTAGCGCCTCAGACTAGCGCCTCAGACTGGCGCCTCAGACTAGCGCCTCAGACTAGCGCCTCAGACTGGCGCCTCAGACTAGCGCCTCAGACTAGCGCCTCAGACTAGCGGGGACCCTGGTAGAGGGACCCCGGTAGAGGGACCCTGGTAGAGGGACCCCGGTAGAGGGACCCCGGTAGAGGGACCCCGGTAGTGGGACCCTGGTAGAGGGACCCCGGTAGAGAGACCCCGGTAGAGGGACCCCGGTAGAGGGACCCTGGTAGAGGGACCCCGGTAGAGGGACCCCGGTAGTGGGACCCTGGTAGAGGGACCCCAGTAGAGGGACCCTGGTAGAGGGACCCCGGTAGAGGGACCCTGGTAGAGGGACCCTGGTAGTGGGACCCTGGTAGAGGGACCCTGGTAGGGGGACCCCGGTAGAGGGACCCTGGTAGTGGGTCCCCCTCGTCCGCGTGCCGCTCTAGTCACGTCCCGGTCGTTGGCGGCGATGGCGACGACGTCGCGAGTGAAGGTTTTGTTTTTGGCGTGAGGGAGAGCTTCCCAGGTCCTGGGGGGCTGTCCCCCGCCCTCCTCCCCCCCCCCCTCCGGTTGCCGTAGCCCCCCACGAAACTCTTTAGTCAGACGCGGCGGCGGTGTGGACGACGACGGTGGCGAAGGTGGCGAAGGTGGCGAAGGTGATTCACGCGAACACGGAGGAGGGCGATGATGGGTGGTGGCGGCGTCTCTCTCCAGGGCGATGTCTCGTCTCTCTCTGGGCGTGCGATCCGCACGGCTAGCGCATCGATGTTAGGGGGTTTGATCGGCGTGTGTGTCTGTGTGTCTGTGTCACTGTGTGTGTGTCTATGTGTCTGTGTGTGTCTGTGTGTGTGTCTGTGTGTGTGTCTGTGTGTGTGTCTGTGTGTGTCTGTGTGTGTGTGTCTGTGTGTGTGTCTGTGTGTGTCTGTGTGTGTGTCTGTGTGTCTGTGTGTGTGTCTGTGTGTCTGTGTGTGTGTCTGTCTGTGTGTATGTGTCTGTCTGTGTGTGTGTGTCTGTCTGTGTGTCTGTGTGTGTGTCTGTGTGTGTGTGTCACTGTGTCTGTGTGTGTGTCTGTGTGTGTGTCTGTGTGTGTCTGTGCGTACGCTTGTTTGTTAATTGTTTTAAATAAGTATTAAATAGTTGTTGACGATTTTGCAGCGTTTGAAATTGTTCTATTGTTTGGGCTGCCAGAATTGAGG